TCATCCTGTGAGTGGACACACCGCCATAGTGACAGTATTGGGCAGCGTCACTCATCCTGTGAGTGGACACACCGCCATAGTGACAGTATTGGGCAGCGCCACTCATCCTGTGAGTGGACACACCGCCATACTGACAGTATTGGGCAGCGTCACTCATCTTGTGAGTGGACACACCGCCATAGTGACAGTATTGGGCAGCGCCACTCATCCTGTGAGTGGACACACCGCCATACTGACAGTATTGGGCAGCGGCACTCATCTTGTGAGTGGACACACCGCCATAGTGACAGTATTGGGCAGCGTCACTCATCCTGTGAGTGGACACACCGCCATAGTGACAGTATTGGGCAGCGCCACTCATCTTGTGAGTGGACACACCGCCATAGTGACAGTATTGGGCAGCGTCACTCATCCTGTGAGTGGACACACCGCCATAGTGACAGTATTGGGCACCGCCACTCATCCTGTGAGTGGACACACCGCCATACTGACAGTATTGGGCACCGCCACTCATCCTGTGAGTGGACACACCGCCATAGTGACAGTATTGGGCAGCGTCACTCATCCTGTGACTGGACACACCGCCATAGCAGCATGTACAACACTCCCCAATAGGAAGAAAACCCGCTGGGTTGTTCATCCTGTCACTTGTGCCCAGACACAGCTGGGACTTACTTAACTGTCTCAAGTGAACATTAAATGCAAAATCCACAGCGACTGCAATGGTTAGAAAAGCAGTTGAAGAATAGTACACATTAGCGAACACTGTGCATCTATATCTCCCACCAAGATAATGTTATTAAAACAAAAGATTACAACCAAAGCGAAAAGCAGAACACTCTTACCAACATTTTTAAAACTTTGACCCCAAATATCACAGTAACAAAGTTATCGTGAATAACCGAACTCAATTACGGGCTCACCATAGCCCGTGCTACATGGACAATTTTGCTCAGAATAGCTGAACCTAAAAGCAACAACAACAAGGTAATAAACAAAAATAACAAATATTCTTCCATAGTGCCTTACACTACGACTTCCTTCGCGTATACAACTTCCTTCGCGTATACAACTTCCTTCGCGTATACAACTTCCTTCGCGTATACAACTTCCTTCTCGTATACAACTTCCTTCTCGTATACAACTTCCTTCTCGTATACAACTTCCTTCTCGTATACAACTTCCTTCTCGTATACAACTTCCTTCTCGTATACAACTTCCTTCTCGTATACAACTTCCTTCGCGTATACAACTTCCTTCTCGTATACAACTTCCTTCTCGTATACAACTTCCTTCGCGTATACAACTTCCTTCTCGTATACAACTTCCTTCTCGTATACAACTTCCTTCTCGTATACAACTTCCTTCGCGTATACAACTTCCTTCTCGTATACAACTTCCTTCTCGTATACAACTTCCTTCTCGTATACAACTTCCTTCTCGTATACAACTTCCTTCTCGTATACAACTTCCTTCGCGTATACAACTTCCTTCGCGTATACAACTTCCTTCGCGTATACAACTTCCTTCGCATATTTAACTTACCATATTGCAAACTGAACGGCTCATATATGTTCTCCTGTTGTTGATTAGACCACTCACTAGAAAGTGAAGGGACGACGACGTTTCGGTCCGTCCTGGACCATTCTCACAATCGACTTGAGAATGGTCCAGGACGGACCGAAACGTCGTCGTCGTCCCTTCACCTTCTAGTGTGTGGTCTGGTCAACATACTTCAGCCACGTTATTGTGACTCCTCATCTGCATGTTCTCATGTTACTATGTCTACTCTTAACGGGAGAGACGATTTATTAATGTTAGTTATAACAAGTGTTAAAATAACTCACCAGCTCCAAGACTGTCTTACCATTTTGAGCTTCGCCTCGTTACTCTCCGTTCCCTTCTTCAACATCCTCCCACATCCCCGGGCTCACCATAGCCAGTGCTACATGGACACCTCGTTCTGAGTAGCTAAATCTGAAACAACATCCTCCCACATCCCCCCACTGAACATCTTCACAGATTCCCCCTGTTAACATCTCACAATATTTCCCAATTTCACAGCAAAAATATTCCCTTTTTTCACAGCTGCATTTCACCTCATTGTTCCTGTTTCAACCCGACCGGTTCTCACAGCATCTCCATCAGCGAGATGGAGATGCTGTCCATCTCCATCTCCAAACCTCCCCTCAAACCACCTGGATAGTTATCTAGATATTTGTGATGGTCTAAGAGCATATTACTGCTCCAACAATACTCTACTTTAAACTGGCAAGTGAACCTTGGTCCTAAATAGAGAATAGTCAATCCTTCTCATATTTTTTGCATCATCAGCAAACAATGAGAGGAACGATTCTATACCCACAGGGAGATCATTTACATATATCAAAAGCAGTATAGGTCCAAGGACTGAACCCTGTGGGACTCCATTGGTGACGCCTCGCCAATCTGAGACCTCACCCCTCACAGTAAGTCGCTGTCGTATGTTGCTTTTTGTATGTGTGTGTGTGTGTGTGTGTGTCTGTGTAATATAAACTTGGTTACACATTTCTTTTCTTAACAGAACAAATTCACAATCTCCAACACTATAAGGAGTGCGTGCGAATATGCAAGTGGTGGTGCTGGCAGGTGAGTGCGTGCACACGCGGCTAGTGCGTGCACACGCGGCTAGTGCGTGCACACGCGGCTAGTGCGTGCACACGCGGCTAGTGCGTGAGTGTGACAACCTCTCATTATCAGTGCTCTTCGCCAATTAGTAATGATTCAGCTAATTATAGTAATTTACATTTTTCCCGATTAATATTCATAGGATCTGTATCGCTGCAATTATTTTTGTTGGAGGGAAGGGGGGAAGAAACAGTCTAATGAAACACTGTTTCAACCCCTGACCCCCAAGCCCCCACTCCCCCCATTAGATTTCAAGATAATATTCTATACAAAATGTGAAAATGTTCTTAGTATCCAGGCAATCATTCTCAACACACACACACACACACACACACACACACACACACACACACACACACACACACACACACAATAGGCTCAGGAATCTGTACACCAGTTGATTGACGGTTGAGAGGCGGGACCAAAGAGCCAGAGCTCAACCCCCGCAAGCACAATTAGGTGAGTACAATTAGGTGAGTACACACGCACGCTGTTCCATGTACCCAGCACTTGGTGGCGGTCAACGAAAATATAATGTACCAAATCTACTATGAATAACAGTGAGTATAACTAGCATTAACGAGGAAGCGTGTGGCAGAAGGATGATGTGGTTAACACCTGTCGTGGAGGCTAAGACTGCGATAACGCATGTGTATGGTGAGGCAGACATGTGCATTGTGCGGCAGACACAGGTGTCTGTGAGGGGGAGGCAGACACACACACACGTGGAGTCAGTCAGGCGGAGCTGTGCAGGTGGTAAGGCAGCTGTGGAATCGAAAAGTTAGTATTGCATTTACCTGTTGGGTTGTGAAGACGCCTCCGCCACTCACCTAGAGAAAGAGAGAAAAAATATTACATTTTAGTGTCTTGATATGGTTAGGATCGTTCGATAATGGTGAGATAAAGTTGGAATTATTGTTTCACACATGAATATGTCTTTATTCTGTAACACGCACACACACACACACACGCGCGCGCGCGCGCACGCACATGCACACATTGGACGCAGTGCGTGGATTTTATTACCTGGGGGCAGTGTCAGGGTCCTGCTATTGGGCGACACATATTATGCTCTTTCTGGTTACTTATGGCACAACAGGGAGAAGGGGCAGGAAAGGTTGACATTAATTATCAAAAGAAGGTACCAAGGCGGGAAGAGTATGGAGAGAGAGAGAGAGAGAGAGAGAGAGAGAGAGAGAGAGAGAGAGAGAGAGAGAGAGAGAGAGAGAGAGAGAGAGAGAGAGAGAGAGAGAGAGAGAGAGAGAGAGAGAGAGAGAGAGAGAGAGAGAGAGAGAGAGAGAGAGAGAGAGAGAGAGAGAGAGAGAGAGACAGAGACAGATAGAGACAGAGTTTACACAATTAACAATAAATATATAAAAACACCTTGGACAGTCTTACCGTATTACCTGACTCACGAGACCTTACTGACTCGCCTGTTAATGCCTCGACCTGTCAGACTTATATTCCGTGACAGCGATAACTATGCTCTGTCTGGCCCGGACACCGAACTACGCGTCCGTTCACTATCCAACCTTACCTGTGTAATGGAGCGACCTTGACGTCCGTGTCCTTACCTCCGTGTCCGTGATAAGTGAGGGCCGCGTCGCTGTGTCGACGGAGATGCAGCTTCGTGGCGTCACTCTGCTGACTCTTCGCCAGCCAAATGTCCTCCTTTTTCCTCTTCCTGAGAGTGTCGACTCTCTTCTCCTGCGGCTTGTGCTCCAGCTTCGGTCTCCTGGGGGTGAAGTCCGCAGCCTCCAGGAGGCCGCCCACGTGCTGGGTGGCCAGGTGGTGGAGGGTGGTGGCGGGGGACGGCAGGGGCGAGGCGGGGCGTGACGAGGTAGTGGTGGCAGGGGATGGCAGTCCGAGGCTGGAAGGAAGCGAAGGGTTGTATGTGGGAGTCCGAGTAGTGGGCAGCAGCCAGGGGGTGGAGATGGGGCCAGAGTGGGTGAAGTGTGGGGATAGGAGGATGGAGGATGATGGATAAGTTGAGGGTGGAGGCGTCTGGGTGGAGGGCGTGGGGGCTCGCAGGGCTAAGGCAACGTCGTCTGATTCTTGGAGGTCAGCAGGCAAGGCTGAGGAAGGCAGCTGGCCGTTAGCTGCCGCCGCCTCGACTCTGCCGTTTCCCGCGTTTTCTACGAAGGCCACGTCGGGGGGAAGGCAGGCCTCGTAGGAGAGCTGCCACTGGTCCAGGAGCCGCTTACTCAGCATCACGTAGCCGCCGGTGTTATGGAAGGCAACATTCTCGTAGTCCGGGCCACCCTCAGCATCCTCCAGCGACGGGGCGGACGCTTTACTGCTGAGGTCAGCGGTGAGACGGGCGGCGCCTGCGCTCAGGCACGGCGGCGATACCTGGCGCTCCCTCGACTGTCTCCTGCCGGGGGGTGGCGACTGTCTCCTGCTGGGGGGTGGCGACTGTCTCTTGCCGGGGGGTGGCGACTGTCTCCTGCCGGGGGTGGCGACTGTCTCCTGTCGGGGGGTGGCGACTGTCTCCTGCCGGGGGGTGGCGACTGTCTCCTGCCGGGGGGTGGCGACTGTCTCCTGCCGGGGGGTGGCGACTGTCTCCTGCCGGGGGGTGGCGACTGTCTCCTGCCGGGGGGTGGCGACTGTCTCTTGCCGGGGGGTGGCGACTGTCTCCTCCCGGGGGTGGCGACTGTCTCCTCCCGGGGGGTGACGACTGTCTCCTGCCGGGGGATGGCGACTGTCTCCTGCCGGGGGGTGGCGACTGTCTCCTGCCGGGGGGTGGCGACTGTCTCCTGCTGGGGGTGTGGCGACTGTCTCCTGCCGGGGGGTGGCGACTGTCTCCTGCCGGGGGGTGGCGACTGTCTCCTGCCGGGGGGTGGCGACTGAGGGAGAATCTTCTTGGTCCAGCGCTGCTGGTCAGTCTGCGGAGCGAGGGTGAGGTGGTAAGCAGAGGCAGCAGCCAGCAGAGAGGGAGGCTGCCGTGCCGCCTGCTGCGCCAGGTCCTTCACATATATCTCCAGGGACCTGGTCCTGCTGAGGGAGGCCTCCAGGCTGGCGTCCAGGTGCCCGTGGGAGGCGCTGAGCTGCTGCAGGTGCCGCAAATTCCTCAGCGACACACTGGGGTCGCGCCACGAGCCGCCACCGCGGGTTGCCGCCTTAGTCGGGGTGCTGCTGCAGGAGGCCTGGGTGACGTCACTGGTCACGTGACGCGTGAGGGGGTGCAGGGGGAGGTTGTCCTGGGTGACGGGCGGCCTCTCAGGGGGGCTGAGGGGCGGCACCTCCCCCAGGGGCGAGCACAGGTCCCCCAGGAGTGGCTGAGGTAAGTCTTCCATAGGGAAGGTGGCGTTACCTTTGGTAGGAGCCTCGGGGCTTGCCTTAGTCTCCTGCTTGGTGTCTGCGGCTGCGGCTGCGGGGAGTATCCTGGTGACGACCCCAGGGGCGCGGCCCCGCAGCCGCGCCTCCGAGGCTTCGCAGCGACACACACGCCCGTCGCCATCCTTGCCGTGGGCGTGGAGTGGGCGTGCGGCGGCCAGGGCGGCCACGCCACTCACCACTTTGTGCCGCAGGTGGCACAGCTTGTCTTTGACGCGGCGAGCGGGGGAGGGGGGGTGTGAGGGGGGTGCACTCTCCCTCCCCCCACTCTGGCCGCCCCCCTCACTCTCCCCCTCCTCCTCCTCCTCCTCCTCCTCACTCTTCCCCTCTTCCTTCCCCTCCTCGTCCTCCCCTCGAGCCTTGAGGGCCTCCGCCATCTTGGCCGGGGAGAGGCGCACGAAGTCTCCGTGGTCCGTGCTGATGGCCGTGCTGCCGGGGTAGTTGAGCAGCACGGCGTGCACCAGCCGCCCCTTGCACGACCGCTTGTCCTGCTCCTGCACGTGAGGCGGGCACGTGCACCGCGGCTCCCTGGCGGGGGGCGGCGTGGTGGTGGGACACGTGCACCGCAGGTCCCGCGCTGACCGTGCACGCCGTGCACCCGTCAGCTTGTGGGAAAGGTCAGAGTCCGGGCACGTGCAGCGGGGCTGGCGAGGGGGCGGCGAGGCCGTGGCGGGGGTGGAGGGGGGCGAGGGGGACGTGCCGCTCCAGGGGCTGGCGTCGCGGCTCCCGGGGGGGCTGGGGCACGTGCACCGGGGGTCCCGCCACGCACGGACCCGCCGTGCCGCCAGGGCCTTCCGCGCCTTCCGCAGAGACTCAGGCGAGGGGCACGTACACCGCGGGTGGCGCGCACGGCCGGGCGGGGCCGTGCCGCACACGCCCTCCACGCCCTCCAGCCTCAGCCAGGAGCAGTCTGAGGACTGGCCCGAGGAGGAGTGCGTGGAGGAGGAGTAGTTGGAGGAGGAGTAGGAGCCGGGCGGCGCGGGCGGGAGCAGCGTGGAGTAGAACTGCGGGTAATAGGAGGCGTGGGTGGTGTAGAGTGCCCCGTCCTCCACGCTCTGCACGCCCCCAGCCACCATCCTCGGCGTGCTCACCACGCCGGCCGCACGCCCCCGTCACGTGCCTGCCGCCTCGCACGCCGCCGGCGTGGGGGGACGGGGAGCACCAGAGGGCCGCCCATCACCTCACCTCGCCATGGTGAGGTGACCCTCACGCTGCCTGACACACTCACACACGCCTCATACCTTGCTCTCTCAACGCCGATGCTCGCGGAAGACAATCAACGCCCGCACCTCATCTTATCAAGTCTCGTATCACTTCACAATCTTATCTTCCTGGAAGACAAACACGTTAAATATCGTATCAAGCGTCATCCCGTGCGATGAACCATCCTGTTTCCTGATTACAAGTGGAAATTCTAACTGGCTCATCTACCGTTATCATACACGAATGGGACGATTGTACGAACGGGTTAAAGAGGGCGGTGCACGAGCAGAGCACGCATGGTGACAAGCAGAGTACTGATTAAGGCACGTTGGAGTAGCACAGTAGTACTGGACGGTCGTTGGAGTAGCACAGTACACAACCAGGGCACCAACGGGTACTGGGGGTAAGGGAGTACTATGCAGGTGAGATATTGATCCATAGGTGCTGAGGGTCACTACCTACGGAGCCTTTGTGTCGAAACGTGAAGTACATCTTACCAGCCCATCATCAAAACAAAGGCTTGTGAGGCTCACAGGGTACAAGTCAAACATTGAATACAAAATTCTACGAGGTCAGTATTGGAACTTAAAAGTCCACCTTGCGCTGTTCAAATATAAAGTAGACAGGATTTAGTAAACGCTGTAGGCTACATAATATCATAATCACTGATCGATTAGAGAAACTTAGGGTCAAGATCACACACAAGACATCTAACAAGCAACTGCTTTCCACAGAATTTAGACGGGTTGGGCTAGATTCACGAAGCAGTTACTCAAACACTTACGAACCTGAACATCTTTTCTCAATCTTTGGCGGCTTTGTTTACAATTATTAAACAGTTAATGAGTTCTGAAGCACCAGGATGCTGTTTATAACAATAACAACAGTTGATTGGCAAGTTTTCATGCTTGTAAACTGTTTTAATAAATGTAACCAAAGCCGCCCAAAGATTGAGGAAAGATGTACACGTTCGTAAGTGCTTGCGTAACTGCTTCGTGAATCTAGCCCCTTGTCAGCAGCAAACACAACCCATCAATCTTCAACATGCACACCAAAATTACTCCTCATTTTGGCCAGCGATGCAAAACAAACACAACAAAGACACGACTGCTCAAAATAAAAACAAACAAGATATAACCAAAAAACACATTTGAAGACGACTTAACAAAGAGCCGGACGTGATGTGGGTAGCAAGGAGGGGGGGGGGTGAGGTAGGGAGGGAGGGAGGTGAGGTAGGGAGGGAGGGAGGTGAGGTAGGGAGGGGGGGGGGTGAGGGAGGGGGGTGAAGTAGGGAGGGAGAGAGGTGAGAGAGAGAGGGAAGAAATGAAGAAAGGGGGAGAAGAGGGGAAGGGAAGGGAAGGGAACTATCAGGGGGGGGGGGGGAAAGCGCCAAACCATT